AGGAAACCAGATGGTTACTGGCGCTCTCTACAACGAAGATTGAAAAACAACAACTTGGCTGGTCCCTTCCCCGAATTCCCCAATAAAATCTTAAAAAAAAAAAAAAGCGAGACTACCTACACCCATTAGAAGGCAACTATAAAAAACCCCAGAAAACAGCAAGTGTTAGTGAGGATGTGGAAAAATTGGAAACTTTGTGCACTGCTGGTGGGCATGTAAAATGGCATAGCTGCTGTGGAAAACTGTATGGTGATAGCTCAAAAAAATTAAAAATAGAATTATATGATCCAGCAATTCTACTTTGGGTATATACCCAAAGAATTGAAAGCGGAATCTCAGAAAGATATTTGTACACCATGTTCATCATAGCAACATTATTCACAATAGCTAAAACGTGGAAAGCACCCAAGTGTCCATTGACAGCTGAATGGATAAGCAAAATGTGGTATATATGTACAAGGGAGTATTATTCAGCCTTAAAACATGGATGAATCTTCAGGACGTATGCTAAGTCGAATATGTCAGTCACAGAAAGACAAGTACTATATGACTCCACTTATATGAGGTACCGAGGAGTCAAAATCAGAGACAGGAAAGTAGAATGGTAGTTGCCAGGGGCTGAGGGAGGGGGATGAATGAGTTTTTCTTTAATGGCTATAAAGTTTCCGTTTTGCAAGATGGAAAGAGTTCTAGAGATGGATGATGGTAATAGTTACACATTATGAATGTTATTATTTAATATCATTGAGCTGTATGCTTAAAAATGGTTAGGGTGGTAAATTTTTTGTTTTTTTAAAATTATTTTTTATTATGAAATACACATTTTTTAGAATGTTTCAGCTGTACAACACAGTACAATAGTTATACTTTTTACCCCTCGAAGTGACAAACCCCCTCCTCCAATCCGCCGCCCCACTTCCCCCCAATATCATACTTATCTATGACAAATCCCTTGACTCCACTCCCACACTATACTCCATGTCCCATGACTATATATATATATATATATATATATATATATATATATATATGTAGGTAATTTTTTTTCTTTAAATGAGGAGTTATTGTTTTAATGGGTAAAGTTT